CCCCCCGCCCCCACCATCCTGGGTGTCTCATTTTGCTTTAGTTTCTCCATCCCTCTGTGCTTAAATCTCCTGACTTTCTGCTCTCAAAATGCTCACAGCTCTTCCCTGCCTCAGGGCCTTTGCTCAGTCTGTGTACCTTTGCCTGGATGGCCCTCTCTCCCTTCACACCCCCTGCCCCGGCTAAAGCCTCATCTTTCTAACATGCCCTTCTCTGGAAGCTCTCCCACACTCTCCCCCCGGGGCCGGTCAACTGCAGGCCTGCTGTGGACTCCAGGGGCCCAGTGCTTCTCCACTGCAGCCCTGTCTGCTCTGGGGACAGGTCTCTAGCTCTCCCTGGACCATGAGCTCTCTGTCACTGCGGTGTCCCCAGCATCACCCAGCATGCTAATTTGGTCAGCCCCCAGCTGTGCTGTGTTGTCGAATGGCCTGAGTGAATGGCCTCACACCTTCTCTCTCCTTGAGCAGGAGGAAGCACTCAGCGCCCCTCAGCTCCAGACCTTATTAAGCATCGCCCTGGAGCCTGGTGAGTTGGGGACCGGGGTGGACCCCACGGACCCCCCATGTGTGTTAATTCATGATGCTGCTGGGAGTCAGGTCACGGGAGCCCTGGACTCAGCCTGACAGCGTCTTCCCACGTGTGGGGCCTGTGGCAGGACTGAGGCCACCCCACTCAAAAGGACCCCCTTTCTCGAAGGGAGGCAGGGGGCGTAGCTGCCACGAGGGGCTTGGAATCCCCTTGCCTGGGTTCACATGTCGGCTCTGCCAGTTCCCGGCGGTCACTTGGCTCTCTGAGCCTCAGTTGCTGGCGTGAGGACAGCGGTAGGGGATAGCGGCAGTCCCCAGCACTCGTGATGACGGCCAGCTCACAGGAAGTACTCGGCTTCGTTTGTTTCCTGCAGCCAGGTCCCACGCCCGGACCCCTCGAGAGATTGGGCTCAGGACCTGTGAGCAGCTGCTGCGGTGTTTTGGGGTATATGAGGGGGGCAGTGCCTGGACGGGGAGGATGGGCATGCTGGGGCCCGTGTCCCCCTTCTGGGGACAATGACTTTAACCAGATGCCCCATCCCCAGAATGGGCAAAGCCTCACCCTGCACCACTTCCAGCAGCTCTGGGGCCATCTCCTGGAGTGGCAGGTAAGGGGGGGGAGGGTTGGGGGAGCCACCTCCTCCCGGAAGGTAAGGCACTTTTACTAACGAGGACATAGGTGCCCTGTGGGCTCGCGGGGCCCCAGGGGAGGAGAAATTGGACCACATCATACCAACGTGGAGGGACGACTTGGAGGGATCTGGCCTTGTCCCACCTGCCCTTCTGTGGTCCCTCCAGGGGCACTAAGTGGCTCAGGGGTGGAAAACACAGGCTCTGGTCCTGGTTTGAAATCCCGGCTCCCAGGTCGGCCCCCCTCTGGCCTTGCGACCTTAGGCAAGTCACCTCCCCTTGAGGGGCCTTTGTCTACCAGCGGGAGGTGTTAATTCCCGCCTCTCCGGCCCCGGGAGGAGGGAGTGGTCCAGGGCCTCCCTGTGCCGAGCCCTCTCGAAGCCCCTGGTGGGTGGAATCCGTCTGGCCGTTACTAGTATTCCCATTTCACAGGCTGGGAAACGGGCTCAAAGTGGTAGAGCTGCCTGCCCAGGGCCCGAAGCCAGGAAGAAAGGGAGCTGGGTGGGCACCCAGGCTGACTGGCCTCCAAGGTCCCCCTTTCAGGGGGCTTGGGGGGCTCGGGGGGTGGGACTGACCCGTGCCTCCCCGCCCAGGCCACATTTGACAAGTTCGATGAGGACGCCTCTGGAACCATGAACTCGTACGAGCTGAGGCTGGCGCTGAATGCGGCAGGTGTGTGCGGCGGGGCCACGGGGCCGGGTCTGCTCCCTTGCCTACCTGCTGCACTCTCGCAGGCCTGGCTGCCTGCTCACCTTGGTTTGCTGCCAGCTCTTGGCCGGGACTGGATGCCCTCGGGAGACGGGGCGCGAGGGGGGATGGGCCCGGGAGGGTGCTGGGGGCCTGGAGCAGGGCCTCCCAGAAGGGGAAGAGAGGGGAAGCCTGGGAGCCCGTGTCTGACGGGCACCGGTCCCCAGGGCATTGTGGTAAAATGGCCCATATTCCCCTGAGTTTGGGCTGGAATCCTGCCTGTACTTACTCCCTGGGGGGCCTTGGGCACCTGAGTCCCTCTCCTTGAGGGAGTCTCCGTGTAAAACGGCCAGGACACAGGGCAGCTGGGAGGAGCCTGCAGGGCTCAGCGCTGGGGGGAAGCTGCTTCTAGTTACTGCCCCGGCAAAGGTTTAGGAAAGGCTGGCTTCTTCCAGGAGAGGAACAGCCTCATTCCCTCTGTGTAGCACAAAATCCGGCCCGAGGGGGCGGAGCCAGGGAGCAAGGCTTTCCCTGGGCTCTGAAGCAAGTTAGGGATGTGCGTGTGTGCGTGAAGGGGCTGGGACCAGAAGGGAACTCCCTGTCGCCCCCCCGCCCCCGCCGCCCCCCTCCCCAGGG